ACCTTTCCTGCCACATTCCGGCTCTGAACGAGTCGCCGAGGTGAGACACGGATAAGCTTTTAAAAGAATCGAACTTTGTTTGTATTGGAGACAAGTATGTGTTTTTGGTCACGAGACGTGGCCGCCGGCTCCAGTATATGACCCGAGAGGTGGCAGGTAGTTGACAGGTATTGAACCCGGAAGGGCATGGAAGTTTTTGACCGCCATGGCGGAGTCATTGTTAACGCTGTTGCCGTGTTTCGTGGAATAAATCGATTTGTTCACAAACGGTTCATCTGACTGGAACAAATTTGGAATTTGGACTACAAGAAGATTTACATGCGATCAACAAGTGCAACTTTAGCCGCTCAACGCGTCATAACTGAGCAGCAACGCTTAACTAGTGCAGTATTAAAATGGCTAGTGCAGTTTGAGTTGTCACCTTTAGTTATGTCTCGATCGAAACGTCAGCAGTCTGACCAACAATCTGGATATGGTTTTGAAAAGTTTTTGCTGATAAACATTTTACAAGTGATGCTTTTTTTCAATTCTGCCCTGCTGAGATGATTTAAGGGTGAATCTGTACCAGATTTGTATATTTTGTAGACACTCAAAAGTTTCTTTGTTAAATAGGAGAGCATCAGTAGCTGTGTTTCCATTACAAATCTGTGCAATGTCAAAATGTCCGCTAATGTCAAAAAGCACAATTTCACAATATGTTGTTTCCTCCAGTAGCGACATCTGGTTGTTGATCGCATGACTTGTGTGACGCAAAAATACATTAATTTCAATGCGCCAGAAAAACCACCTCATGTTAGCATAAAAACTTTTGCATTTTGCAAAAAGATGTTGGTGTCTGGTTGTTTTTCTGCTTTCATCCAGCAACTAAAAACAATTCCATCGAAACATCAGCAAAAACATTTGACAGCTGATGTTAAAGTTCTTTGTGTGGTGAAAAACTCTTTGTCCCAACGTTTGCAGCACAGTTTTTTACCATCTGTGATCTTTCCGTGTCTTTCCCTCTCTTCAGCGGTGAGTGGTTCTGCTCTTTCTGTCGGGACACAGAGTCACCAGAGATGGAGTACGACTGCGACAGAGGGAGCGGGCCGGGCTCCGAAAACTTCCCCTCTGTGGACAAAAGGGTACTTTAAACCCTCTACTAAATCCATTTTCACTCTATTTTAACACTATCGCTCACTTCTTCCTATGTCTCGGAGCCAGAGACATTCCATTTTTCATGAATGGAACATTTTCCATTCATGAAAAATAACGCTCTTTTAAGATAAAAAATAGAGGAGTATCTCGTGACTGGTGTTTTTCTTGATTCTAGAAATGTGAGCGACTCCTGCTACGCTTGTTCAGTAACGACTTCAGCACAGACTTCCAGCATCCTGCATCTCCATCGGTAACCGTCTGCAGTCGATATTCATGCAGTTTATTTGTACTAATTAATGGTGATGAACGAATGGATTCTGTCTACGTTACGGGAAATCACAGTCATTCTGTCCAATCAAACTTTCATTGACACATCTGTTTGTCCAGCCAACCATGAATAGATGTTTGTCCATTTATCCAACCAAACTACCAATTTACTATTTACTACATCAGGTCTAATGTATCATTTTGGTTATGTTTATGTTGGGGTGAGTTTCATTCATCCAACCAGTCAACTCTCCATCCTTCCAGTCAACCCTTCATTTACCCATTTGATCATCCATCCAACCGTCCGTCCATCCTTTTGTCCATTAGTCCATCCATCCGACCCTTCGTCCGTCCAACCAACCATCTAACCATTCATCCCACCATTTGCTCATCCATTCATACGTCTGTCCATCAGTGAAACGTCAATCCCAAACTGAATGTGACGTTAGCTTAAGTTTGTCCCTTCATCTTTCCATCCATCTACATAATAACCCAGTCACCCATCCTTTCCCAATCGATTGGTCACGTCAATCGTCCTTCTGTCCATCTGTCCTGTTTTTTTTTTGTTTTTTTTTTGCTATATTCAAAATCCATAGTGACTCGTACTAAAAGTGAATAGTGGTGGATTGCGCTTCGTGACAGAGAGACTATGAGGAGATTCTCCCAAAAACAAGTGCAGCAGAACTGAGATGTGCTGCTTTTGTAGGAAACTCGGCGGTACAAGGAGCTAATAAAGACGCCGATGGATTTGACGATAGTGAAGAAAAAACTGCAGTCGAAGGAGGATGAGCACTACGGAAGCCCGGAGGAGTTCGTTTCCGACGTCAGGCTCATATTTTTCAACTGTGCCAAGTACTACAAGGTGGTTCTCCCTTCCAGTCCTCTGTTGCAAAAGAAAAATTTTATGTTACTTTCGTTCTTGTGTTTCTTTCTTTTCTTCCTTCAACCTTAAAAAAAGTTGCCCTCTACCTTTTCCAAGGCGACATCCGAGGTTGGGAGTGCCGGCTTGTACCTGGAGGATTACTTCGAGGAGCAGCTGAAGCTCGTCTACCCGGACAAGGTCTTCCCCGGAGGGAGAGAGGAGCAGATGATCCCTCCTTTAGAGGACGAGATCGAAGAAGAGGAGGAGCAGCCGATGGAGCCGAGTGCCGCCGCAGAGGAGGACAAGAAGCCACAAAGCCCTGCAAGAGACCCAGACGGCGGAATGGTTCCCAAGGAAGAACCGATGGCTCCGTCAGAGAGCGAGAACCCGGAGGAAAGGAGCGAAATGAGTCAAAAGGAGACACAGGAAGGGACTGCAGACATAGAGGGAGGCGTTCCTCCTGCAGAAGAAGCGAAGCAAGATGAGAGCGTCGATAGTAAGCAGGCGGAAAGCCGCCAAGCTTCCGACACGGAAACTAAAGACGGCGGCGAGGACGAGGAGGCGCAGCTACCCGCGGACGACACACCGGACACTTCGGCGAATCCAGCCTCGGAGCAGCAGGGATAGACGGGCCCCCCCGGATTCCAGCAGGGTAGATCAGAGAAGTCTTCCAGAGTCATGGCTGTGGCGTCGGCCGCCATTAGATGCAATGAGATCCTCTTTGTAACTCGTCTGAAGCAGAGTCGCGACCGCTGCGTGGGTCGGACTCTTAACGGCGGTTAATGCTGCTGGGGCACAACAAAGAGAGCAAACAAAGTCTTTGTTCCTTCTTATCTACGACGACTGTGAAAAGCACACACACGTGAGCTTCTCTGTGGATCGTGTTTAAGTTATGAATTACTGTAAATACGTCTTAATAATGAAAGCACAGTTTCCTAAGTAGAAAATCCCCCCAAGTTTGGACTTTTAATGCATGAACTATGCTCTTGATATCAATAACCCATGCATTCTAGCCATTTCAGTTCAAGATTTACTCATTTGCAGTAGTATTTTATTTTTATTTATAGTATTAAAACATAAGTATAGGATGGCTGAATACTGTAGATTTTGTACAATGTGGCATATGTACCATATACATATGTATAAACACAAATGGCAACATTTGTTGCTATTGCTGGTGAAGATCTAAATGGGCGCTTTCATTGGAGGAGCATAAACTGTCATTATGAATGTTACTGTCATTTTACTTTTTAGAACAATTCATTGACTGGGACGAAACCCTTCAAGAGGAAATAAATTGATTCGGTTTCTTAAAAAGAGGATGAATATACCTTTGTTTCATGTCAAGACAAAGTAAAAATCTGAAAATGGCATCAGTTACTTTTATATTAAATAATTATTGAGTCTCTTTTGATTTTGGTAAAATAAATAAATACATTACCTTAGAGCTGAACAAAACAGGGGGGAAAAGCTGATTGTTTCCCTTCACTCTGTGCTGCCAGTTTCGAAAAATTCCAGTTTTATCACAAAGGAGCCTCTTTTTTTTTCATAAATAAACAACAATCCTGGATTTTATTTCCTCTACTGTTATCGCACCCAACTTAAGAGATCTGATACTCAGTGCCTCAGTCGTAATCAGTTTTCCGACCTTTGACCTTGATTGCTTCATTTTGAGTATTTGACTTCCAGCAAAATAAGGTTTTTGCTTATGTATGAAAGTCGAGTCATTTAGAAAGCAACAGTTCACACGGCCACTTAAGGGTCGCGACAATGCCATCAATCAAAAACAAAATCAATGTTGAGCATAAAAAGACTTTCTGAGTTTAGAATATTTGTAATGGAGCCATTTTACATGACACACAACTGACTTTTGCGTCACAAATTTATATGTATTTATATGATTTCTTCATTTCCGCCTCCCGTTTCTAAATATGTTCAGTGTATGAGTGGACAATTCAGGGCACAGAACTAGCAATAGCAGATAATGATGTTGATCATTTGATAGTGAGTTATTTTTGCACCTGCTCCTATCAAAATAAAGTCTACATACAACTGAAAATCAAAGTTTTACATTTGCAATAGATTTTTTACGGGTTTAAAAAAACAATAATGATGAAGAGATGAGGAACATGGAACATTGTAGCAAAAGTTTACCTGTTCACAAGGAAATGATGAAGGTGTTATCTGTGTAAAAAATACATAGGAAGGTTACCATTAGCAAATTTATTCCATATTTTAGAATATGTTGTAATTTAGTCATAACTTCACCTTCAAAATAAATCTTTATGACATGGTGTCCAATTATTATGATTTAAAATGTGTAAATAATGACAATCTCATCATCGAGCAATTTTATCAAAATTCTACCTTTCAAAGCCAGAATTGTGACATTCTGTCGAATTATTATCACTAAAAAGTCAAAATGGAAACACTGGAAGAAGAAATTGCGGTTTTGTTTCTCAAATTGAAGAGATTGCCTGATTTAATCGCGTCTTTCTTTCGATTGGTCAAAACGGGCTTCCGTAGATTTGTCAATTTATTTATTCGTTTTATTGACAAAGTTAACAGTTTGTCACTTAAAAATCCCACCAAAACAGTCGAAAGTGTGACAGCAGAGAAGAAGAAGAAGAAAAAAGTGTTGCTGATACTTTTGGGTTTTGGCTGCTGCTGGTTTCACATTATCTCGCTGATGACGTCTTCGACGCGCTTGTTATCGGCCGTGTTTTAATCACGGTAGCTCGTCGGAGCCCTCCCGCTCCGTGACGCCTCTCCAGCGGGTCGTCTGAGCGCCTTCCCCGCCACTTCATTTCAGCCTCACCCCTCTCTCCACCTTCAGGATAAATTGTCCGGCTCTGAACACCGGCTCCTCCACAGGGGTTCAAACCGGGCCTGATGGCGCACGAGGTCGTGACCTTATTTTCCCTCTGCGCGGTTCTGACGGGGATTGGTAAGGCACCGGACGGAAGTTGGCGAGTTTAAATTCCGCTCTACATTAAAACCTTTTTTTCTTTCTTTTTTTTTTTTTTGTCGCCGTCGTCGTTCCTGCTTTATAGAGAGCAAGTTGACTTCTGTACATGAGTGCTGTGAGGCTGGAAGGGCCTTGGCCCTGAGGAAGCAGGACTGCACGGCGCTCCCACGTCTCAGCTCCCACATTTGCAGGTAAGAAACAGCTGGACACTTCTTGTGACTTAAAGGGACATCTGGCAAAGCAATTCCTTGTTGGAAATACGTCAAGATGATGTGTTGTATTCCAGGTTTTATTCCCAGATCCAATTTCCAAGCTAAGTTGAACACAATTGACATGTTCTCTAACTTCCCATAGCAGTGAGCTGTACTACTGTTGTAAGACTCAGAACCTTTGGCTGTGATATCACACTTCCTGCACAGAAGGAGATAATTAAAGTAGTGTTTTACTTTGCATTGTGTTTTATTTTTAAACTGCAGTCTCATGTTTAACACCATATTCCTCAGCATTGCCAAGGAGCACTGCTGCCGGGCCTTAGCAAGAAAGCGAGCCTGCGACACTGGCGTTAAGATGGCCCGTGGTGGCAGGGCCTGCGAGCGGCCCCTCTTCACAGGACCCAGCTGGGAAACGCAAATCTCACAGGTGCGCTCTCTCCTCCACCCCTCCTGACACGAGCGGTTCACACACAGGATGTTGGGGGACGCACACTCTGTTCTCTTCAGCACACGTTTAGTTTTCTGAAACCTCCCTCTCTGGTTCAGTCGTGCTGCGACTGCTGCACTCTGGGTCTGAGAACGGACAGCATGGGCTTCAGCTGCGACTTCCAGGACCTGCAGCTGGACAAGCAGTGCTCCAACGCGGCTAAAGTCTGCTGTGAGAAACCCCAGGACGTCAGCCCGTCTGCGAAAGGTGAAAGGTCAAAGCAATCTCGCACTTCAGGCGCCGATCATTCGCCGCTTATCGGTATTATCTCACGTCGCCGCCCGGCTGTGCGATAGTAGGATTTCGACATCAGCAAACATTGGGCGTTCAGACACAATCCACTGTCCCGCTGCGAGAACATTCATTGTAGTTTCTAGTGCAGATATGTCAGTATGCTTGAAATAAGACAAAACTAAGTGACAAAAAAACGTTTTAGCAAGATATAGGAGCGTGTTTTTCAGTAAAAATATTCCTTAGTATTGATGAAAACATGATCACTGTAGGTGAAACAATCTGCCCGTGAAACAGGATTTTTCTCCTTGAATTAGTTCAAATGTTACTATATGTTGCTGAAAAGTGACTTGTAAGTTATTTGACTTATTTCAAGTCATAAAAAAGACAAAAAAAATCCTTGAATTTTGCAGTTCATTCCTTCTTTTTTGTCATTCATGACAAGTGTGTGCTCTGTTTCCACATATTCAATATGACTTTTTTTCCCTTCATTTTACTCATATTTTGTCTCAGGACAAGAAGAGCTTAAAGTCTCCAGGCCTCCAGACGATCCAAATACCTGCAGAGGTATGTTTAGTTTTTTTATTTGCTTATTAGTATTTATTTATTTTGCTATTGTTTTGGTTGCAGTCTTGGGAAGTCGTAGTCTCTTTATGGTTCTTAGACTTTAAAGTCACATGTATATGAATGAAATAAGACATTCAGTCCTTGCTAAGTCTTTAAGTTAGACACAATCTTAGGGGGAAAAACCCCCAAACAAAATCAAAGTCATTTTGTGTTTCAATTTGAAGCAATCAAAGAAACTGACTTTATCAGTTTCTCTTATTGTTGTTGGGAAAAAAGTCAATCGAATCGTGTCACCGGCGGTTGCTCTTGCTTTTCTGCTTGCAGCTCTTTTAAAGTCAAACTGTTGTCCTTTAGATACCACAACAATTGCTTCTTTTATTATTATTTTAAAACATAATTTTTGGTAAGGAGATCAGAAATCAGAAAGTCTGCCCCAAATACTAGCAATACTTAAATCCAAGATCCAATTATCAGATGATAAACATTTTAGGAAACTGTAAGGAAAAAAGTAAGTTGTTTGTCGTGGTCTGAACTGTGAAACGGTGTCTTTAAACGACACACAAAGTGGTGTGTGTGTGTGTGTGTTGGTGTGTGTGTGTGGGTGGGTGTGTGTGTGTGGGTGTGAGACGTGCCTCCTGAGACATCTCTGCCGTTTTCAGAGCTCAACTGCTCTCAGCTGTGCGCAGGTGACGGAAGATGCGTCTGCAGCGACGGTTTCCGGCTGCAAAAGGACGGAGTGACGTGTGAGGGTAAGTCATCTTAAACGCAACTGAATGCATTCAACTGAATGTGGTGGAAAAAGTTTGGCCCTGCTGGTTGTGCTTCCTTGAGCGGTGAAACCCAAAGTCTTTCTGGGTATTTTTGGTCTAGTTTCTTGCGCAAATACCTTAGATTTCCGCCCGTTCACGACCCCCCCTCCTTCTCTCTGGCCCCAGACGTGGACGAGTGTCTGGTCGCCAACGTGTGCGGCAGCCACGCCTGCGTGAACCTGGACGGGTCGTACCGCTGCGAGTGCAGAGCGGGCTACCGCTTGAGCAACGTCACCGAAGTCTGCGAAGGTTTTCGCTCAGTTTTCGCTCGTTTGGAATTCTTTTGGAACTGAGTAAATGTGAGAGGTCAATATGTTGCGTGGCTTTGTGCTCTTCAGATATCAATGAGTGCAAGTTTCAGTCCCAGCGACTCTGCGGGCACATATGTGAGAACACAGAGGGGTCTTATCGGTGCAGGTGCATATCCGGCTTCAGGCTGGCTCCGGACGAAAGGACCTGCGAAGGTAAGCTCTCAGTGACGCAACTAATATCATATTTCAAATGGCCGATGCACCTCTTTCCTTTTTGGGACTATGAATTATATTATTGCAGCAGTTGTTACCACAGCAGCTTCCACATAAAGAGTTAATTTAACAGAGACGCAGGCCCTCAGGATTACATGTCCTCTACTTTACTGACATTAGGCACAAGGTGCTTTTTTGCAGATTTAAAAAAAAAAAGCTAGGTGTTATTCTCATTAGACTAGAACACATATTTCCAGTTAAAGTACCAGTAGGTGGCAGAAAAGCCTTTTCAACAAATGATTAGCATGTGCCATCAAATTTTTTTAAAAGTTACTCTTTTACGTGAATGTATTTGTCTTGAGAAGTCAAGAAAAATGCTATTTTCTTTATGAAAGTAGCATTTTCAGTCGGACAGTGTGCGACTCTGACTGAAGTAAGTATTTTAGATACTTTTATTTTTGACTTTCCCTCCGCTTTCAGTTACTGCAACGTTCTTTTCTCTCCTTCAGATATCGACGAGTGCCTGACCGGACGTCACAACTGCACCAGAGGTCAGCTTTGCCTCAACACCAAGGGCTCGTTTCACTGCCAGCGCGAAATCGCCTGCAGCACCGGCTATAAACTCTCGGGCAGCTCTTGCCAAGGTGAAAAAGAAAAACACCCAAAAGATTTTTTATCCCACATTTTAGATACACCTTTGGTATCTAAATGTATGATATCAAAAGTGTTCTTTTCATACTTTGTCATTTTACAACCATGTGCTCCAAGAGATGCAAAGTGGTGCATAATTGCAACGTGGAAGGAAAGCAATTCCAGTAATTTTCGCAAATAAAAGTCAGGAAGGCAAAACATTGTAGAATCACCTTCAGCTGCAGTTGAGCTGCAAGTCTATTTTCTTGCCGCTACCAGATTTGTACTTGGCCTTTGTGATGCTGCTTGCTATATTTGATTGCACTGGATTTCATTCATTCTACCAGATTTTCCAGAGTATAAATTGCTCCCGGGTAAAGGTCACATTTGTCAAAAACATCTGTCTTGAAGAGTCCTGAATATAGGACGCAGGATTGGACAAGCTGTGGAAAAAATAGTGACTTATATTCCATAAATTGCAGCATTTATTTTAAAGGGAGTCCAACATAAATGCATTTTTTGCAGCTTTGTGTTCATCTATCTTTCGCGCTCCAAGCGAAAGCAGCTCCGAGGTTAAGGGTCAGCTCTCTTAATAATCTCTCTTTTGCTAGATATTGATGAGTGCTCTGCCCACACCAGTCCATGCCAGCCCGGCCGGACGTGCGTCAACACGGTGGGCTCCTACAGCTGCCACACTAATGCGATCACATGCCCGCGAGGGTTTCATCTGAGCGTGAACGGCACACGGTGTGAAGGTAGTTTAAAGAATGCATGGCTGCCCATCCAGGTCTTTATTTCGCTTATGAGTGTTTGTTTGTGTGGGCTTTATAAATAATCCCAGGGTTGAGAGTAGGCCTGGGCATTTATAGGGAAAGATTTCTTCTGAAGATTTTGATTTATCACTGAGTCCGTAAATTTCATTTCATGGTGTTGGATAAAAGACAGAACTCGTATTGTTTTGAGATGATATTTTTACTATTTTCTCCACAGAAAATATTTTCTCGTGTTCCACGAGCGTATCAATAAGTATCAAAAGCAGTACGATTAAGTGCGGTTACTATTATTATTAATGACCAAAAATGGGAATTTTTTTCAAGATACTTGGCGAGTCAAGTATTTGTGTTTGTGGTGTCATGCAACCATACAGTTACCTAAAAATGAAGTAAGTTTTTTTTTGTTGTTTGTTTTTTTTTTTTACCATCATTTGTTGTAGTAGTACCACAAAATATTGTGTCCAGCAGTTTCATGTGCTATAAACAACCATATTCTACCTTTATGTTTCCCCTGTGAATGGTGTTAGGATGTTTCTGACTTTGTGTCTGGTGAGCCATTTCATCCTGGATCTGGTCATATGCCTTTAGTTAAAATGTCACGAGACGTTTTAGCCAGTTTTCTTTTCGCAACATTTCTTTTGGCGAGTCAAATATTTACTGATGCCATTATTTCTAAAAAGTTTCTAGAACCCCTAGAATCACCGATTCTCATCCTTTGTCGGCCGTTGCTTGAAATGTTTTTCAAGATATTCCTTCTCTGTAGTTTTTATTGGTGAAAAACTCCTGACTTTCTATAATAGTTTTTCCTTATTCATTTCTACATAGACGTGAATGAGTGTATGGTTGGCAGTAAGTGTGCCAAGCATGTGTGTGTGAACCTGGAGGGACTGTACCGCTGCGAGTACAGAAGTGGCTACATGTTCAACAGCGTCACCAAGCTGTGCCAAGGTACAGAACCAAGAACTTCATTCATTGTGGTTCACTAACGGCTTCTTCATGTGACAGAATTCTGAATTTGTTTGCCGTTAAAGTCAAATAGCACTTTCAGAGCTCTTTTTCTCACCCCGGCCCCGCTCTGTTCAGACATCAACGAGTGCACCCATTACCCCGGCCGACTCTGCGCCCACAAGTGTGAGAACACAGAGGGGTCGTACCGATGTAGCTGCGCAACCGGCTTTAAGCTGGCCTACGGCGGCAGAGGCTGCGAAGGTGAACGTATTTTTGAAATAAACTTTGGTTGTTTGTTTTTTTTGGCCTTTTACCAAACTGCCACCTGCTTGACGACAGACATCGACGAGTGTGAGGACAAACCCTGCAGCCAGGAGTGCACCAATGTCTACGGCTCATATCAGTGCTACTGTCGCAGCGGTTACCAGCTGAACGACGTCGATGGGATAACGTGTGAAGGTGTCGTTGCTGCAAAGCGGAACATAACGTTCTCCGGAACCAAAGATGGCCGTGTTCATCTCTAGAAGACAGAAGATGTTTTATCTTGTTCTTTTTTTTTCCTTTCGTTGTCTCCATCTTCTCAGATGTTGATGAATGCACGCTGCCAAACCTATGTTCTTACCAATGCATCAACACGCCTGGTGATTTTAACTGCACCTGCCCCACCAGCGGTTACACACTTTCGTACGACGGACGTACTTGTCAGGGTAAGGGGGGTAAAAACTTCTAAAAGCATCTTCAACGAGCATTTTAAAGGTATTAGTCGACCTGAACTACTACAAATGCTGCAGTGGGTTAATGGAGAATAAGTGAGGAATCTCGTGGTTCACTCTAAGCAATTTTGAGCATCGCTGAAATTAATTGCTGTAATGGCCGGTAACATGAACTTATCATTATCTGCTGCATAGGGCTCCAAGAGTTTCACTTTGATGTTTGTCTTTTTCAGACATTGATGAATGTGCTGCAGGAACTCATTCTTGTTCTGCCAAGGAGACCTGCTTTAACGTCCAGGGAGGATTTCGCTGTCTGTCCTTTGAGTGTCCGCCTAACTTCAGGCGAGCAGGAAAGGGGTAAGAATTCAGAAGATATTTGCCTGAGATCATCACACAACAAACAGAGTTTGAACTTATGTTTTGTTCATTTTTCCAAAGCTTCTGTCTCTGAGTGATAACGCTTTAGATTTTCACAGCATCACTTTACTATCACTAGCTAAACTAGAACAGCAGTTTGGAAATTTAGCTTCACCCACCTTTTAATTTTTGTTCTCAAAAGCAGCTTGAGATTTTTTAAAAGCATTTCAAATGTGTAAAATTTGAAGTTCTTTGTCTTAAATATATATATTTGCTATATCCCTCAGCCAGTACAAGGGAGCAGAGCGACAGCAGCTCTCCACTTCCCAACGTTTGACATTTTGGCTCTTACTTGTTTGGTTTCGATCTAGTAATAACTACTTAATCCACATTTTCAGCTGTTTTTGTTGTTAATGTTAGCCCTGCCTTAATTTTGTACTTTTAAGTTGTTCATAGTTGTGAGTTTTGAGCGATCAGAATTAGTTCTGTGTTCGAAAACTATCAAATTCATATTCTGTACTGGAAAGATTGATTCACAAACACCTGGATATTGAAGATTTTGACAAAGAGCCGGATTCGGAGCACTACATGTCCAGTATCAGTTTTTCAGCCTTATATTATTTCTCTCTACTTCCAGTCAGATCGTTAGCCTCTTTTCTGTTTATGTTTTATGTACATGGAGTCAAAAATTTGACAGAGAATAATGTCTCTTTGGTCTCCTTTTCACCAGTTCTCCTGTACTTCCTCTGCTGTGGTCACGTCTAAAACCAAAATTTCCAAACCAAGCGATCCAAGCTGCCTTACCAAAACATCAAAGACGAACGCGGTATTAGCGGACAGCAAGAAAAATAAATGTGGCATTTATTTTGGGGCACCTGGGGCTCGGCCAGTTCACTGAGGCTCAATTATTGGTGGGACGGTGTCGTAGTTAGCATGATTAATGGGCTTTTCAGTGTTGCCGCTGGGTGGCTATCGGTTAATTCGCTGAAAACGATAGCAAGTGGCCACTGCCTGTGTTGGTCAGCTGTAATGTAAGCATGGTTGATTTTGTGGGCTGGGTCGTGCAATTCGGATGTAACAATAATACAGAATGAAATGTGAATTTAAATGCTCAACAAATGGATCATCCAACAATTATTTTCAAATGTCAGGTTCTTGATTTTTACTCACATTTATGATTAGATTCTCCCCCTTATGATTTTCAGTCTCACTTTGGTGGCAGAAATTCATCGCTGACACTTTGGCCTCATGTCTGGCAAACAACTTCCAGGAATGTTTGGATTTGGGATCATGGTTCTGCGGGATTCACTGCTAAATGTCATTTTTGTATTCCTTCTTTATTGTCGCGGCCTCGCCGCCCTCCTCTTGCTTCTTCACCTTCCCTCGTCTCTCTTCCTGACGACGGCCCGGCGCTCTCAGGTCCGCAGGTAACGCGTCCGCCGTGGTGCGTTGCGTCAAAGCGTGCCAGGAACACGACGGCGAATGCGCTCGCGACCCCGTCCACATCATCACCTCCATGGCCCTGTCTCTGCCGACCTTTCAACGCTTAAAGGAGCCAGAGGGTGAGACCGGCGACAGAAAAAACCTTTAGTCATCGGCCAATCAGACGACCCTACTTTCTATTTTCACCCGTTTGTTCCGACAGAGATCGTGTTGCTGCGGACGTCCGCGGAAGCGAAGCGAGATCTTCTCCCGGATGAGCCGGATGTGTCGTTTGACATTTTAGCAGACGACGACTTGCTCTCTTTCGACGTGATAAAGCGTGCGCAAAACGGCATGATTGTCGGTAAGCAGACGCGGGATTTCGCTTCATAAAGTCACATTTCCGTTGTTGTCCTAAGTAATTTTTTCCCCGCAGGGGTAATCCGCCAGATCAAACCCGTATTGGGGCCGAAGGAGCTCATTCTGGAGGCGTCTATGAAGTACGTCCAGTCAGGAGTCGTTTCCCAACAGAACGTCATCCTCATTCACGTCTTCATCTCCGAGTTCTGGTTCTGAGAAGGGAATGTCAAAGTTTTATAGATAATTCTAGTGGAAAAAAAAATTACATAATTAATGTAAATACAAATCAACAAGGAATGTAGTGGTGGATTTCTGTTTGTGTTTAGGTTGTTTGCACAGTTTGAATTTAGTTACAGGTGTTGATAGTAACCGGAGGAGGTTACTATCATGCAAGGAGAGATTTTTATGCTCCACAGTCTTCAGCCTCTGTGAGGTCCTATGCACGCACAGCCTGGTTTACGTTTCAGGCAAATTGCATTTTTAAATTTTGTATTTTTGCAAAGGCGACACTATGGCCGACAGAAAATTGCTGATTTACAGGTGAAAGTTTTTGTCAGTCTAAATGATCAGATACAAATAGCCATAAATCTCCACGATATGCTACTAATGTTACTTAAAAAATATATAACACCAGAATATTTTATATTATTTCCAGGTGAAATTAGAGTATTTCTGTGGTTCTACAACATGAAGCAACATGGAGGATGTTGATGCTAACTATAAACTCCTCACACATATATTGATACTTGTAATTTCTAGCTGTAGTCACACTGCGTACATTTCTACAGACACTTGCTCTTACAATGCTATGCTTTCATTTTTCTTTTGACTGGAAATTAACTCAATATTTTGTGGGCTTGCTTCTTCTGATGCCAGACTTCTGCATTTAAGTGCTTCTATATAACTGAAGCAATTGTGTTTTGTACCATTTATATATATATATATATATAAATTTGTGAAACCCTGTTAGTGAATAATAAAAACCTTCAGTAGTATGTTGTTGCATTCGTGTCTTCTGCAACAGACTGAGCCATCCATCAACTAGTTGGCACAACCGAGGTTTCCTACAGTTCTAAAATCCAGTAGAATGTGCTGCTTTCCTGTAATCCAACTGCTCAGATTCCCCCCATCATACTGTTCCACTTCCAGTTTGTTGGGGTATTTCCAGTTATTCCACTCCAGTGTATAAATAGTTGGATTTCTATAACTGGAAAATTTGCTTCTTCAAATAGGCCTACTTCTTCTTTAAACTGACAAATTGCTTGAGGTGGAAGCTTCTTACCATCCGTAATCAACTCTACTTAACACGAAGCTTCCTCAAGCCAGTGCTGTGCTGTTTTTGGCCGTGTGGAAAAACGGAGGGATCTGAAATGCACCGCAGTTCTTGGAAGTCACAAGTGATTTTCATGTGATTTTGTTGTTCCAGCTGTAATGTTTGCTCCAACGCTGGTCAGAGAAATTGTACATTTACTAACAAAAATAAGAACTTGCTCCACATATGGACTTGACGGTGCATATTTCAATGTTCTGATTTACGTCGTATGGTTGCTATTTGTCGACATTCACGTCCTTCAATTCCATATGCCATAATTTATGTCTTTTAATTGAGACATGCCTTTTCTGTACAAGTGACATGAAAAGGTTATTTTGCCACGTTATGAATTTCTCGTGTTTTTGTTTCACGAGTTTCAGATCATTTAAGACATTTGCATTCAAAAACCAGACAAAGATAACTTAAGTAAATGCAAATTGAAGTTTTCAAATACTAATTTCAGTTGTTACTAGGAAAACACGATGCTTACGCCTAATAGCACGTTGACCCCAAAGGTTTCTACATAACAGTGAATTCAACTTTTAGATTATTCAAAGTGTTTGCGTTTTTGAGTTTTCCAGGGAAACCGGATGCAAGAAATACAGAGCCTATAAAAATGTGTCGTCTTTTTTATTGATTTTTCAAATCCACATTTTTTTATTTTAATAATAACAAAAATACAAAAACCCTTTGCGTTAAAATGAAAACAGACCTCTACAGAAAATGATGACATAAAAATACATAACATTAGTTGCTTTAAGTATTTTCTGCCTCATTTATTTATTATAGGTAAATAAATATCGATACTTTTTTTTTATTACGGCAACAGCTTTAGTCCTGTTGGTGCTTCTGTCACTAATAACAGTTGGACCCATGCAAACATGAGCACATGCTTCGACTCCGCCTCCGAGATAAATTGAGCCAATAAGAAATCAGAGTTCGGTCTGCGTGTCCCCGCCCACATTCGTGACGTGACGCAGCTCGGGAAACATGGCAGATCCCATCGATGACAAGCAGAAAATATCAGCGGTTCTCGCTGACATTTTGAACGCGGAACAGAGCTCTGAACACTTGCAGGTGTTGAAAACCTTTACAAGTGCGTTGAAAGACGCCGAATACAGGTACTGTTTGATTCCACGCGCTCTCTTTGTTTTGGTGAAGACGTGAAGCTCGGTGGCTAAGCTAACGCTAGCTTGCAGTGTGTTCAGCTTCTGGACAGCAAGTTTGGTTGTTTGTGTTAATGTGTGCCTTTGTGTTATTGATGCACTGTTCGTAAATTGTTGGTTCGAGAGCAAATTCAGCATAAACAAAGTTTATTACAAGCTTGACTGAGATGTTACTGTCTCACGAGGGTACAATAATATTAAAACATTTTTTTTATTGAAGCTAAAGAGTTGCCCTGTTGATCCAGTAAACTAACTTTTTAGTACACGTTAACAGAGAGTTGTGTTCTATTATGCTTCTCTAAACGCAAGTATTTTCTACTGTTGTGCTACTTTGAAAGGAGGAAACAGTTTGGCATCAAAATGAACTGGAAGGTTGCCAACCAAGAAAAAAAAAATGAGCCTTTTCTAAATCCACCACCTTCATGATGGTTTGAAACCTCAAGCTGTCTATATTGACCAGTAAAAATCCATGCGTAGAGCTTTCTTCACAACTATTGAGCTGCTCTTTGAGTTACATTGAGGATTTCAACACCAACAACACCACTTCTCGCATTCAAAACAATTGAAATTGGTTCACCAAAATGATCATGGCATAGAAATATCTTATCAACCCTTGTAAAATGAATTTATTTTCTCGCTGATTTTCCTCTCCGCAGGGACGCCGTGGGGGAGGACGTTTTCTCCGATCTCCTCAAGGTCCTCGCCGGGCTGCTCGATGTGCTGCGGAGTGCGAGCGGAGGCGGCGATGACGACGCGCGGCCCTCTGCCCTGCAGCTTCAGCTCACAGCCGAGTGCTTCAGGTCCCAGAGGAACTCCTGCGTTCAAAGCCCACGCAACCAGACACTGCTCAGGTGGTTACACTGAGAGCGCAGAGGCTGGAAGATGAGAGTTTAAGTGGAACTGCCAATCCGCCTCTTCTTTCTGTTGCGTCTCTTTAAAGCTGGTAAACTCCAGTCACGCAGTGAGACTCTAAAGTGTTCCTACCCAATGAGTCTCTTCACATTTTGTTCCATAAACTGTAAATGTTGAGATTTTGAGAGTAAATTTAGTTAAAGACATTCTGATGAGGTTAGACGGTAGGGAAGCAAATCTGCTGAGTATGTGTTACTATTGCGATAGCAACATGCTTTCTACCACCTTTTGAAGGAAAAACTAAATCACACTTGCACTAAAATACTACGACTGTAAAGAGCAACACAGACTCGAGCCAAAAATCTAAAAGAGAGAAAGTCTTTTTCTATGGATTATAAACATTTTTCTCAACTTTATTGTGCAATTTGGAAGATAACGATGTGTCGAGCTACCGGTTTAAATCCCCGTACGGCATTTTAACCCAATCCCTGCACGTGGATCTGCATGGTGGGACCAAAGCAAAGCCACAACACTCCAGATTCCACTAAACAAAGGGAGAAATTGCTTCACTTTAACGTAAACCAAATGTTATCGGTTTATTAAATCAGTCATTATTCAAAATGCATTGGAATAAAAAAAAGTGTCAAACTTTTGATTTAAAAATGTGATTATTTAATTAGAGCTCTCAATCAATTCTAGTTTTTAATCCCATCTCATGTCTAATCTGCTTGTCCAGTACTCCCCTGTGTTTAGCAGATTTACTAAATGTTTTGCTGAACAAAAACATTTCCTCATCATAATGGATCCATCACTGTGTTTCAGAATCTCAAATGGGATTTTTTTTAGCCTTCTTTCAAAAATGCCCTTGACTTTCTAATTATGTGCTACTTTTGGGATTCCAATAAACGTTTTTGAGGTTTGAAAGTTGTACTACTACTTTGCACTTATTGCATACAAAATCTGTCTTTTTATGCTGTAGGGAGCTTGGATTCATTGGTATATCCATTGAACTCCTAAGTTATCTTCAGACCCTGAATTTGGAGACCAAAGAGGCCTTATATGAACGTAAGTCTGAATCCGTTGAATTGGCAGCATATGCAGTGTTTAAATTATGAGAAAGGAAGAAATGATGACTGCTACGACATTGATATGCGATTTATTTGTTTTTCTGTCTTCCCATCTAATCATCTTCTCATTTGTTTCCATCTGCGGCTCAGCTCTTCGCTGCGGGATCCAGTTTCTTGGAAACCTTGCTGTCGGAAACCAGATGAGCAAGGATGAAGTGTGGCGGCTCAGCTTCCCCGACATCCTCCTGTGAGAACTGTTTTATTTTTATACAAAGAGAATGGATGCCTTTTTACAGTTTTTTTTATTTTTTCAGCTCTTGTAGGCCTTATGCAGTTTTATTTACACCAGATTTGTGTGCAAACAGGCAGCTGCTCTGTATTGATGATGAGAAGGTGGTGAACTACACCTCTATGGTTCTCCACACGTGTCTGGATGAGGCCAAAGTGGAGGACTTGTCAAAACCGCAGAACATCAAGCTGGCTCTCAAAGTGATGGAGTTGTGCAGGACCCAGCCTGACCTGGACTGGACGTAAGTGTGGCTTCCAGACATTTGAAGTCATTATAATTGTTTTTTTTTTTGAGGGGGGGCAGAGGAGTAAAATGAACTGCCAGAGCCTGAAACCACTGAGGAATTGCTGCAGGGTTTTTTGACATTTTTTTTTTAAATTTTTTAAAAATTAGATCTAGTTTGAATAATATTTACTAGAAATCAAAGGCAGTGGGGACAGAAAAGATTCTCTTAAGACTGCTACACAGTCAGAATAGCTAATTCTTTAGGTCTGGATTGGTGTATCGGATCAACAGAGAGAAAGCAACTATAGATCAAAACTAGTTTTAATCCTCTGCCATAAGAAACTGCAAACGATTATTTGTTTAGTCATTAATTTATTAAGTTTGCTTAATGCCTGACTTTTAAGTCCAAATTTATGGTAAAATCTGGTAAAGATATTGACTTGAAATCTGATGTTTTAGCGAGTCCTCTTGTAGTTTTATTTTGTTTGTTTGTTTGTTTTTAGCCTCCCTTCTCAATCTGATTACAAAATAAACATGGGTTTGTTTGTGAGGCCTCCAATTGTTTAACATTTGTAAATAGTAGTTTTGGTAAGTAAATATCCTGTCCACATCTGGTTTCTTCTATGGAATGTTTTTTTTTTTTTTTTTTGTCTTTCCTACTTCCAACAGTCTGCAAATGAAGTCTATGTTTTCCTTTGCATAGTGGTAATGGAAGATATTTGTTCCTCAACACCTACAATGTTGTCAACAACATTCTCAGATGAAATAACTGCTATTCTGTGAAGAAACACTCTTTTTGAGGATTTATTGGTTGATCTTTAGAGTGCATTTTTGCTTTTTATTCAAATCCAGTGTCCTGATGGCAACTCAACATTTTCTCAAATCTTCAGCTCTGGTGGAAAGCATGTATTCTGGGATGTCCCATCATGACAGGTACAGATCAAAATCTGACCTAAAATTGTACTCATTTGGATTCAAATGTTGGTAATTATTTAATTTCTGTATGAAGAAGAATAGAGAGTAAATACATGTGTTTTTCGGGGGGTTTCAGAGTAACTCTCTTGGAGCTGCTGTTGGCCCAGTTAAGAGAAGAGTGTCCGGGGGGCTGTGGCGTTCCCCCCAGTGTGGCCCGTTTCCTGGCCAGTTCCTTCCAGAAAGGTTGTGGCGCGGTTCTCACACTAGCGACAGGTTCTGCTTCCAGCAACGAGGTCATAATTGCTGCAGCTTGCTAAATTTGTATCCAAACGTTTCCACTTTTCGGAGACATTTTTAATTTTCTTTTAATCTGCTTGCTGTAATCCTGTGTAGGTCCTACAGGAGGCGCTAACAGTGATCAGTCTGCTGGACGTGCTGTGTGAGATGACCTCAGACCACAAGCAGTTCATGTTCCTGCAAGACCATCCCGATCTTCTGGAGACTACCGTTGGTAAATGAAAAAGCAGACAAGCTCCCTGACTGGGGGCCGAATATCCTGGTTCCCATCAATTCCTCATCAGGACAGACACTTAAGATTCCAGCCAAAAAACCTCCTCGGTGTGGATTAGTAATAAAGTCAGAGCACAAATACCCCAAAAAAGTTTTGAGCAAACCACCGAATTTAGAGCTGTGAGTGAAAGATTTATATGATTGAACAGTAGAGGTTTCGGCTTTCTCACTTTTTTCTTTCCTGTCTGTCCACCTTCTTCTTCTTCGTCTTCTTTTTCTTTCCCCGTGCAGAGCTTCTGGAGCAAGTGCATGCTATCGGGAAGGCCAGCAGGAATATTTTCAGCGCCACTCAGAACTTCTCCCCCTTTACCGGAGAGGAAGACCCGGCCTCGGATTCCCCGGTGGTCAGCTTTAAGGCCCACCTCATCAGGCTCATCGGAAACCTCTGCCACGGCAACACCAGCAATCAGAGCAAGGTCCGATCGTATGCTGAAAGAATGAATCCGATTAATCGACTAATTTAGTAATTGATTGCAGGAGTGCACAGACTTCAAAAAAGGCCATTTGCTGACTGAACACCACATAAGAGTAATTAAGCCAAAACTGTGGAAAAGTGCATACAATTAACACAATAAACCTCTGTAAATATGTTCCTCCTAGAACTCTTAAAGTGGCATAGTGTTAGCTTCACCTGGTTCAAGCTCTGTAAAAATGAAAATCTCCTGTTAAGTATTTTTTGCTATGTAATTATTAGTTGGTTAATTCAAAAATCTACAAATGATCACGTGTTCCCTCAGGGAGTGCTATGTTATTGCATTTTAGGCAATAACATAGCCTAAAAAAGGAATTTAATTGTTTATTTCCATCTTTTGCTGTAGTTTAAATGTTGTGTAAAATAAGTGGTTAAATGAAAAATCTGCACAATGTGCTAAATAATATTTTTTATCCGATTAAACAATTACTTGTACAAAACGTCTTATCTGTATCACACATAGAGCAATGGACATATGGAGGTTCAGTTATGCCAAAAATCTCCCTTTAAAGTGGTTAAACATATGGACTTATCTCCCATAGGAGTATGGCAGATTTCTCCAGCATAGCTGGACCAACACGTCCGTAGTTTGAGCGAGATATAGAAAGATGGATACAAGGACAATTTGGATCACTGCATATTCATGTTAGAATGGCTCAGTCAAAGCCCTGATCTAAATCCAAGTGAAAATCTGAAAAGTCATGTTTGAAGTCGATCTCCATCCAATCTGACTGAACTTACCTCATTTGTAAAGTGTTATAAATTATATATCTACATTGATGTTGGTATCGGTGGATTTGTTAACGCATCGATTAGAGGTGAAGCAAAAAATTTGCAATTCCTAGTCCTGAGAAATTTGAATCAATTTAAAATGCTCAAAAATTGATTTTAGTTTGCTTAATTTTTTGTGAAGTTATATTTTGATTGCTACTGAATCAAAAATTGTTTCAGAATCTGACCCAGATATTGGGATTGGATCAAATGTTTAGACACTGAAAGATTCACATCGCTAGTATTGGGCCATAAACGAAACTGGGCCGATCATTAATAACCAATATTTCATTTTACTTCTCGTTGGGTTCCCCCCTTCCAAAGATAGTTTTTTTAAATTGGTGATTGGATGTTGTTTTTGGTGACTTATGTTTGTATTTTTGTATTTCTGATACTATAGTTGCTTTTTAAGATTTCAGGTTGTGCCTCCTTTTCCCCCAAAATAGTACCTTGAGATGGGATTTTAGAAGAAATAGCCAGAATTATTGACAATTTTCATGTCTACACTTTTCTTAGGTTAAGGGTAATTTTTCTCTCCTCTTCCTTCCTCCTTTGTTTCAACTTGAAGCTACTCGTGGCGATCTTGTCCACTTTCCGCCTGTGAGCATCTCGCAGACGGTTAACGAAGCAGTCGGAAGACTTGGCCTCTTCATACACCCAGTCGTGCTTAATAGAAACAGATTTGTGGAATGCCTGTGGGATGACCACCCTCAGCTGGCCTCTCTGTAATATTTATGGATGCTGATCTGTGGTCCGTCAGTGGTCAGAAATCACCCCGTATCTGTTTTCACGAGGATTTCTTCCAGTAAACCAAATGTCATTCTGTTCACCTTTTGGCAGAGAGGGTAATTTAAGATGTGCATGCAAAGCTCTGAACGGCTCGTACCGGTCTGAGAGTCACGGGTCTGCTCGCTTGTTATTCATCCCTTTATGGGTTTGGACGTAATGTAAGCAGCTTTTGTTCTCAAAGTGGAAAGAAGCACAGACGTGAGCTTCCTTGACGCTCTAAATGACTATTCCATTTTCTGAAACTCGGCACTTGGTGCCGTTCTCCTGCTCCCTGCCAGTCTGTTTGGAGGAGAACCGCAATGGCAACACATGGTCATTAAGCCTATAGGATCAGACAGCTGATGAAGAGCAGATCACCCGCTGTGGTGGTCTTGGACTAACACTGGTGCCTTTCCTCACATTTGAGGCTCTGCTACACACAACCCACCTTTTCTTTTGTTTGAGAATCATGAAATAAACCGGAATTTATAAACGGAAGATGATAAATGTTGTTTTGTTTTTTTTAAAAACAGGGATATTTGATATGGTGGGTAGGTTTTGTTCATTTATTTAGTTGCTGGTTTGAAAAAAAATCATTTTTGTCTTCTGTTTTTGGTCACAACAAAGAATGAATTTTCCATGTTTCCTATGAAGTCTGGATTTTTACTACATTCACTTTTTTATTATTACCACTTTAAAAATTTGCCAAAAATGGACTGAGAAGACTTATCAGACTCGAATTGCATGCGCAACTTCTAAATATAGACGAAGAAAAGTAAGACATTGAGAGATGAAAATGGGTTTTTGAATCTGGATTTTAGCTTTTATGTCTTAAAAGCAGAAATATTACACTTTGTTTTCTCCCGCTGATTTAAGTAGCAAATGTTTCTGCTGTAATTTGTTGAAATATTTGTGTCCTCAGGTAAGGGAACTGGATGGCATCCCGCTCATCTTGGACAACTGCAACATAGACAGCAACAACCCTTGTATCCTTTCCAACGTGTTCCCTAATTATTTACTTTAATCATTCTGTGTGGACAAGCATGCCACTTAGAATGAGAGACCAGACTGGGTTGTACGTCGAAAGAGCTTTTTAAATTGTTCGAAAACATGTGCAAAATGCATATAATAGTTCACACAACAGCAAAGTTTCCCCCGAAATACTTGCTAAGCCTGGTGGTTGGGTGCTAGTCATTCATCCAACAGCCTGTTGGTTAAAAAATGTTTGAAGTTGACAGGAAATTTGAAAATATCACTTGATAGTTATGCATTACTGAAAGATTGGGAGATTAATACCTGAACACCAACAATAAAGCCTTAAAAAATGCAAACATTTTAAAGAGACTTGGAAAAAATAAGCAATGCTTAGTCTGGTGGGGGCACAAGTAAAGCCTGGTGGCCCGCCAGGCTTGAAACACACTGAGGAAAGTCCTGGACAACAGCATGGAGAACAATCCTGCAGGAGGTTAAATATTGCGATCAACATTTTGAATGGCGTCCTCTCAAAACTGTCAGCTTGTCATTAATTCTGCTGTAGAGGCTTTTAAATGTGGTCAGAAGTTTAAGCCGCATTGATTAGTCTTTTTTTATTGTTATTGTTTGGAAATGAGAACACCGATTTCCCACTTTTGTTTTTATTAGCTGACCCTTGTATGTACCATTGGGGAACAAACTGTATAATTATCATGTGAATCTAATATAACACAATTTTTAAGGCCTTCTTCCTACTGGACAGAGACCACATAACAACATTAGGCTTTGGCCAGAATGTGGAGTTTTCTCTGGGATCCCATTAGTCATTACGTTCTGTAGGGAGATCATAGTGGGTTTTTTTTTTATTGTTGTGGAAGCAATGCACATGGTGTCCTGCCAAAGCTCTAGGTCCAACCAAAACTGTAAACCACTGTACAGTAAACACGGCACCATGATTAGGCTTCTGGCGCATACGGATCGGTAATTGTGGATAGGCTGGTTGCTGGGAGACTGAAGGAACATGTGAGACTGCTGCTTGAATTCAAAATTTATTTTTCCATTGCAAATCTATAAAAAAAAAAAGAGTTGGGGAAGAGGAGAAAATGTGCTGGCAGCTACAATTAGGCCCTCAATTTTTAATCTTTCAATTTTAGCAACATGTTGCAGAAAAGCTGGTTGGTATTTTGAAGAAGGCTTCGATGCCTAGATAGATTCTTCCGTTGATTATTGAAAACTGTATTTTTCATACCATTTATATATATATATATATACTTTAAAAAAATACACTCCTTTTTATATTATTTGATTTTTATTTGAAGCATTTCTGTCATTTCTTACTGGAATCAAATTTGAACGAAAGTAACTTCATTGCGGTATGAATAGTTTTACACATGTTTACATCTACACATACCTGTGCTGTGTGGCGGGTTAAGATAATTTTTTACAGCTATGCTTCATATGGCTGCAGCATTATGATTGGATAGCTGTAAAGAGGCAAATAGACTGAGATGAGATTTTTTTAAAACAACCACTGAGGTTCTAATCCAGAGGGAAGGAGATCGAATCATTCCTTCAGAAATGATCCTGCATTGAGATTTCGTCTTTTCCCTGAAAAGTTCTTATGTATACATCTGTTCTATTATCTTACAGAACCGTCATATGCCCCTTTAATTACATTCTGTGTACCGTTTGCAAGAGATCTCATAACTGTAAGCTTACACTGTGCTGGGTGTCGACCCAGTCGCTATTGTTAGTTCACTAAAACGGATTTCTCTACAATACTGGCTTTTTACCAGGCCAACAGTCTGATCCGAGGGGATCCTTTGTTCCCATGCAGCCCTCTCAGACTTGTTGTAAACTGTGCTAACTCTGTCTGCCTGTCTGTGTTGTCAGCCCTTGTTTCTCTTCAAAAACAAAACGATTGGCAAAGGGGGAGAAAAGGGGGGGGAAAAAATATCTGGGAAACATAAGAGTGGGAAAACTGAGATCCCAAAAACACGTCTGCAAAACTGGTTTGTTTGGGTTGGGATGCTTGTATTCTCCATGACCCAAAACAAACAGTGCGGACAGGAGTTTGTCATCCCAAGCTGGAGAATTGGCGTTAGGGGGGGAAGTTTGCTTGAGTTCCTTGAATAATTGTTTCCATCTGAGCTGTGAAACTGTTTTTGAATCCATTCTGCTGATTCCCTGCAGCTTATTAGAAAAAAGAAAATTCAAATAGAACAGGTGCTTGAAGGCTGGACCATGTTCAGGATTACCATAATTCTTCAAATCTGAAAAAATTGCAAGATTGAAGAATTCCAAGAAATATGTTTGAATTTTTTATTTATTTTTTCTTCCCCCCAACTTTGTAAAGATTCCTGCATTTGAAACCAACCGAGTAAACACTTGAAATGAACAGAAAGGCAACTCAACTCTTTAGTTCGACAACGAAAAAAGCCCAAATTTGACGACGACTGGCAGGAGATCATTTCTTTAATACCGGCACAGAGCAGAAACATGTTGTACTTTGGTAAGTGAATACTTCACACTGTTTTGGGAAGAGATAATGTGAGGATCTTAATCATTTTTACTGCCTTAACCATCTGAGAAATGTTGCAGGTATTTGGATTTGGCTTCATTGAGTCAATACTTAGTAGAACCAGCTTTTGCTGAAATTACTGCTGCAAATCCTTCCAGGTCTATTATTTTTGCAGATCTAAAGTTTTTTTTGCCCATTCTATTTAGCAATAAGTTAAAACACATGAACAGTCTTGGATCTAAACCGTTTTATTGTCCTTATGCACATTAATCACAAGTCTTAAGTTTTGTGGTGGCAGGACTATTTTATCTCATATTCCAGGTTATTTTTCTTGTTTGACTTTTCTGTCAGGTAAACATTTGAGTTGTACGCACGGTATTCTGAGACTCTAGGCTGTTGAGGCTACTGCTAACTTGCTGCTAACTTTTTGCCTCTTTCTTTGGTAAGTGGAAATTTCTCACTTTCAGGACACAGTTCATCTTTGCCAATGCCTCACTTTCTGCTGCCGAGCCGCACTATTCTGCTTTCATTCTGTTCAAAAAAGCTCGACACTACTACTGGCCTTAAAAAGTCTTACATCTTCATTGGGGAATCCTGCAGAAACAATGTACTTAAAATCTACCGATTTATGTTTTTTTTTTTTTTTTATAATTTGGCAAAATTCAGAAATACTCAAGGGATAGGGATGCTCTTGCAAAGCATTGTATATTAACAAACAAAATGACACAAGCAGAATCTTGGTTACAGTTCGTCTTCTGTCTTCCTTGACCGACTGCCTCAAGTTATCAGCCAGTGGGCCATCTTCGCCATCAGGAACCTTCTGGAAAACAACCAGCAGAACCAGGAGCTGGTGGCTGCTCTGGAGAGGCGCGGCCCAGTGGACTACTCCGCGCTCAGGGAGCTGGGGTTCCTCGTTGAGGAGCGAGATGGAAGCTTGCTGCTCAAAACTGTGAGGAAAGACTCCTAAAGACGTCGGAAGACGAAGGTTCTCTCAACCCATCAGTGGGTTTTAAAGCAGAGCAGCTAAAGAAATGTGCATTTACCCCGTAGAGATGCTTTTACTCGCAATACTTAAATCAGAAAAGTCTGTACAATGAACTTTTCTACCTCTCCAAAGTTATTCCACATACACTAAAGACCCTACGAGGTCTGCATGCTATAGACGCAGATGTCAGGAGCTCCAAGCCTGGGGAATGAGGAGTCGGTGAGTGGCAAACACACGCTGGCACCTCTCGGAGACGTGGATGTTTTGTGGTTTAATCCAAAGACAAGAGCACCGCAGGGTCGAGGCTTTCTGGCTTTTCAAACACGGTTCAGGTTACCAGCAGGAGCTGGCGTTTAATCTCAGGCCCAAACATGGCTTTTGCCGTTACCATGAAAGAGAATGTCTAAAACGTGATGTAATCTACCCCCTCACGGCCTCGCCTAATTAAAATATCATGGCCGCGGGATGAAGCTCTGCTTATTAAACCGCTTGAAATAACTGCGTGTCCGACTAGCACTATTATTAGGATTGTAGGGAGAAAACATTTAATCCAAGAATAAAACTTGAAGCTGTGACTGTGAGGTGGGAAATGCATCTTAAACGAAGACTTTTTTTTTCCCTTTTTTTCAGAAATTAACCAAAAAAAAAAAAAAAAAAAACTAAACAAAAGCATCGTGACCTATTTTACCTTTAATGGTACTATTGGATCAGAGTCTTATTGCGCATTCACACCTCCCCAAATTAACCGAACCTTCTTTCGCAGATGGACCAGAGTTTGATTAAAACGTAATTGGTGTGAGCGCACTCCCAAACTTATTTCCAGTGATTATGTTATTCAATATGTTATTTGTTGCCTTTTTTTCCTTTTTCAGTGTGTACTTGTGCTACTGCAAGATAAGATGACAATTTTAGATAATTGTTAAAACTCTTTATCAGTGTTTCCAGTAATTGTCACTTTTCCAAACTACTGTTGTCTTTTTTGAAACTTTTGTTTTGTGTCCCAACTATTCAAGATTTCTGTTTTGCACATCTGAGAAAACATCTGTCCATATGCATGCTTTAAAGATATATACATGTATATAAAAAAAAACAAAATTGCCTAACATGAGTTTATAACTGCACTTCTACTAGCTTTGGCACTGAAGGGTTTGTTCCTCGATAGTGGGGATTTCCACTACGTCCTCCATGTATAATAAGCTGATGGCATGCATCGTAAATCATTAACCATCTCATTGAAATCAAATTTATACAGCCTGTCTCTTGGCAGAGGAGCTCATATTTGACTCTATCGATATTTGATGAGCGGTTATTATGGTCCGCTCTTTCTGTTTAATCACAGCATGCTTTGGAAATGTCCACAGAGCAATCATACGAACGCATGAAAGACCGAGGGAATTGGGTGGGAAGTGTCAAGTTTGCAAAACTTCCTGTCTTTCACGTGCCGCTCGATAAGCTGAGCCGTTCTGACAACTCGACAATGCGGTGCTATTTGGGGCTGCCCGCGCCCTGCTCCACCCTGTTTGCTCTGCCTCCGATTTTTAATGACAAAATGGGTTAAAACAATCCGACGGACTATCCCCGCCGATCCGGCAGCACAGTAGGGGAAGCTTTACGGGGTTCCGGTCATCAGGATTTCAGACGGCTAACATAACAGCCTTTAGTTTACGCTCGACCGGCCGGCCGCAATGCTTTTCAGCCCCACAGGAAAGAGGGCTGTGTGCAAGTCAGCTGGGCTGAAAGAGGTGGCAGGGCTGGAACCCGGGTGTTCATCTGCCAAGTCAGACAATGCAAGAATTTTACCGTTTTCCATATCAGCATTTTACATCACAGACCTCTACTGCGCTGTTCCAAGGCCTACAAAGACTACCTTACATCATAATATCCAGATCATGTTTAAATTTGGGAGAAAAGGTCTAATAAAGTGTGTGAATTAAAAAAAATGCATTTGTTCTTTAGTTGTCAAGCCTTATGAACCCTCAAAGTTTCAAAACTTTTCAACTACAGGTGCATCTCAACAAATTAGGATATCATAGAAAAGTTTGTGTGCTTTGGTAAAACCCCAAATCCAGTCAAAAAATAGAAATCTGTCAGAAAATCTGTTAATGTTATATTTTTCATCTAAGCGGTCTTTAGGAAAGTCAGTGACTCCCTTCACCAGAGGGTAAAACGTCCACGCTAATAAGGCCGACTGTAAAGGGTGAGGCATCTAAGAACACAATTGGAAAATTTTGTGGAAGGAAATGGTGTGGCAGAAACAAAGTTTAACAAAAGAAAGGAATTGCATAAATTACTGTGTCAGTGTGCTGTGGCATCGAGGCAATCAGCTTCACTGTGCTAAGGTGTTAAGGAAGCCCAGGTAGTTTTACCAGTAGTAGCTTGTCGTCTGCATTGTTAGCTGTAATGTCTCTTATCCTCCGAATTTGGACCGCTGAGCATTCCTTTTCTCCTCAGCCCAGATCAAACTCGTTTTGATGTCCTTTCTGATTAGAAAGTAGCCGCATTCGATGTCTTGTAAGGCTGCTGTTATCCTTCTTCCTTGTGTAGTTTACCTTCCACTCAACTTTCTATGAATATGCTTGGATTCAGCAATCACTTTAGTGGCTCACCCTTGTTGTGGAGGGTTTTACAAATATGCTATCTGTCTTATAATTGCTTGTGAAATTTGATTATAAAAATAATCATCCAAATGAACAGTTTCATATCTCGTATCTATGCAATGAGTTTCCAGTTTTGCATTAAATTACTGAAACAAGTCTAGTTTTCGATGACATTCTTAGCGACTGAGATGTCCCAGTAATGTTTCCGGAAACTTCTCTGGTACAACGTCACGTAACTCAGCTTTTATGGACGTCTTGAGAAGGTAAAACTCCCGCTTTAAGTGGGCAAGTTCCTTCAAGTACACTCGAGAATTTCCATTTCAGGAGCTTTATTCCAAAATAACACCAATTCCAAATAAGTTATAGCTTTCAAATATGAATAAAATGACATGAATAAGAAACACTTTTTCCGGCTAGAAATGACATAAAGTGCCATGTTCCTCATATAAAAATATATTCTTCCAATTGTTTTGTAACTCGTACAAAGCCAAGAAAACAACAAAAATAAATGTGTAAATACATTAAGAGTGCTGTCCAGAAATAGCAAGCCTCTGGCGTTTCCCCTCGCTCCCCGTTTCCATGTGGTTACGGTCCCATGCCATGTGCCTGAGCAGGCCTAAACCACGCTGGAAGGCTTTGTGTAAGCGGAGGGTGCCGTGTGGGACTCTCCGTCTCGGCCCGCTCGCGGCGGCGCTGGATGTTTCTGGCCCCGTTCGCTCCTCCGTGGATTTCCCAACGAGACTCGCGTGGTTTTCTGCTAAGCACCAGCTCGTCCAACAGCCAGACAATGAGCGCAGTCAGGATGGAGGGCCGTTCAGGCTCACAGGTTGGATTCCTAAAGCAATGCATTTGTTGGCGGAACAAACCCATCTGGCCTTGGGATGGTGGTTTATGCGTAAAATGTGCCAGTTCAACACCAGCCCTTAGTGTAAAACTTAAGGCAAAGTTTAGCGCAACGTGACTGTCTGAATGTGCCAAAGAACGTACAGTTTGCTTTAAATAACAAATGAGGATCATTGTGAAGGAAATACGTTTGAGTGGTATGAGATGCCCAGCTACAAAATGTTCTACATAAATAATAGTTTTAATATATATATATTTTTTCAGTGTTTAAACAGAATACAGTGTGAGAAGATGCTCGGCTGCCATTTCTTCGGGTCGCATGTGGAGGCTTCTTCCACGGCAGTCCAAAGTACATTTCTGATTTATGTTCCCCTGAACACAAATGTTAAAATAATAACCAACAGCCGTTGCGCGATGCCAAAAATTTGCCTTCGTACTGCAACGTCTTCTAACACCAGTATGGAAGCCAATAGTTTTCCTGCGAAAATAATCGCCACAAACCTAAATATGTTTTAGCGTTTTCATGTGATAGACCAACATAAAGTAAGGCGTAATTGTGAAGTGGAAAGAAAATTTTATGCAGACCTATCCACATAAAAGTATATACAACCAGAGCGACAGCGACTGTTAGTGGCCCAGTCGAAGTGCAGCTCTCAATCCAACAAAAAGACAATCTTCCAAGTTGTGAAAATTACTGTCCATAAAAAAAAATAAAAATGTTTTCATGCTTGTGCAAAGCTGATAGTCACCGAACTACTTATTGCTGGTCTATCACTGAAAATCCCTTAAAAATATGTTTACATTTGCAGCTGTTGCAGAAGAATATGTGGAAAAAGTTGAAAACCTTTGCAAAGTTGTTTGTCTCTGTTGCTCCCAGTGACTTCCACCGCTCAAATTCAGCTTGAGTTTTTGTTTCTTTAGAAATACGATGCCAAAATGTGCAAAATGTAATAAATATGTCAAGGCCCTTCCTTTTCGGAGTCCCCGTTTCCTTGCCCCTACTTGCAGGTAAAAACTTCCGATTTCTCTCTGCAGGTGTTGCACTTGACGAAGCAGCACCAGTGGAACTTGCAGTTGCACTGCCAGACCCGCGTGTAGTGGTGCGTGTCGTAGCCCCGGCCGCAACACATCATGTTGCACCCGTCCGTGTGAGTGGAAGTGCCGTTGCACAGCCTGCCCCTCGTCCCCGTGCTTCCCGTGATCGTGTCCTCCTCGCAGTAGTTCGGCGAGCGCTCCAGGTACACCAGGTCCGTGTCCGTGGGCTTCTGGTAGCCCCGAGCCTGTTTCAGGCGTAGGAAGGAGGGCTGGCGGAGCCGCGAGGCCCGGACAGGCTCCACTTGCACCGCGTCGCCGTAGCGCTCCTTCAACAGGTAGCCGACCTCTCTGAACTTTGGCAGGGTGATCCAGCAGGTCTTGGTGGTGCAGGAACCGGAGACGCCGTGACACTTGCACTCCAGCTTCGTTCTCTCCTCCAGGATCTGCTCACAAAGACAGTTGAGCCTCAGCATGTCTTAGAAAAACAAAACTGACAGGTGCTGAAAGTATATACTGACAGCAGGGTGTTAAAAGTGTTAAGAGTCTTAAATTAATTTGTCTAAACTTTAAGGCTTGAAATGTCTTAAATTTGTTAAAGAAAATCTAAGATCACCTTAAACACGTTAATCACAGGTCTTAAATTTTGTTGTGGCAAGACTATTTAATCTTATGTAGGTCTTTCTCTTGTGATCTTTCTATCCAATAAGAGTTTGAGTCACACACAAACATCTTCACTCATGTTCTGACTCGAGGTGGTTAAGGCCACTGCTAACAAGCTGCTAAATCCTGCAAGCTTGCTAGAGAGTTTTATGCCATGTGAGAAGCACAAAACTGCTGCCAAGAGCCACAAAACGATCCCAGCGATTTCAGTTTTGGTCTCCTGTATTTCTTTCGTACACCACTGCTGTGATATGCATCTTAAATTGTTTTACATTAAAAAGTTTTACATTTGAGTTGGAGAGACTTGTGCTAAGTAAATGTAACGTCATCGCAAACACTTCAGCCGGTCTCTTTCTGGGGAGCTGGGATTTCTGCGACCACTTTAACTTTCAGCACCGCAACTGGCGGGCCAACTTTGTGTCAAAAAATCCAAGGAAAAAGGCTTGTAGCTCCGAGCTTTAGTCTCTAATTAACATTACCTTTCTTCAAACCACAGAATGGAGTGACAGGAGTCGACTGACCAGAACTGTTGCATAACTCTACATGTGTATATTCTTAGACAGGTGATTGATTTTGATGTAAAGGGGGGGGGGAGCCTCCTTTGATCAAGATCCACACTTGATATATATTTTTTCTGTTATGTCACTGAAGCTCTACTAACAGAGGGCTGCTTGTCCGTACACATCATTATTCAAATCAGAGGTGGGTTATCAAGGTTTTGGAAGCGGCTCTTGACTCCGGCTGGATCAGTGTGCGCACGCAAGCAGGCGTGCGGTCGCTGAGAAGGGAATAGAGGCAGGACTGCAAGAATATTCTTTGCTTCAACTTGAACGCTTTGTTCACGAGTGACGGATGAACCGAGCGGGAGAAGGAATGCTTCTTCTGTTTCTCTTGGTGAAGGAAAAAGCTGGGCCAAAATGCAAAGGCGCTACATTTTCCAGTTTGTCCATGTTCTACCCTTCACCTGTGGCTACGTGACACAAATCACGAATCAGATGCTTGATACAAGCAACTGAAACAAGCTTCATTTGTAGGGATGGCTGGGATCAGATTTAGAGATAAAGTTAAGAGCCTCTTCTATCTGATCTGAATGCCTTATATGTCTCCCTTTGGAGGTTTTACAACCCTTTCTGATCCCTTAGGATTTCTCAGAATAAACCGAGGAGTGTTAATCTAAAGCAGGACTTCTTGCTGTCTGTCGTGGACCTGATAAATCCCCAACAGTATTTTAAATAAGCGGAAGACATGAGTGGGTGGATAGATGGATCAATGAGTAAGGCATTATAGTCCTATTAATTCAGTTTCCAGTGACAGCTCTCCCTGTTAACCGTTAAGTCTGATGACTCCAAATTGAAAAAAAATACGGGAGTAACAAATGAAGTATTTAATTTAAACCACTAGAAATAGGCAACCTGATGCCTGACTAAATAATCAAGACATGTGACAAAATGCTGTTATAAATAGAGCTGCTTTCTTAGCTTTAGTTAATGTTTTTCACTTGAAGAGTCAAGTGTGGAAGCTTTTCAGCGTTTCAGTTTACTGACATTTTCACCACTGTTACAAATAGAAAAGAACATAGATCATTGGACTGTTAAGGGGGAAAAAAGCAATGTGACTAATTTCTCACTATCTTTTGGAGGAAAAAACCCCGACATTTCGAACATGAAATATTTGTTGTAAGTGGCGGTTCCTGAAGGAATGGAGCTTGGCTGATTCCAATCCCTCTATAACAATGACAGAAACAGTCCCAGTTTGTGAAAAACATATTTCCTTCAAATTAAATATCAATGAACCCCTCCATTAGCTACTCATTCCTCATATTTTATTTAACTTCCCATTGGGATCAATAAAGTATTTTTGAACTTTAATTAAATTTTTGAATATAGACTAATCGGAAGGTTTAAACTCTGAGGCCATTTTATTTGGTACACCCAGTACTAGGCTGGTTCCTCTTATGCCAGGAGAACTGCCCCAATTTGTTGTGGCATAGAGTCAGCCAGGTATTGGATACGTTCATAGCATTTGGTCAATATTGACCTGATTGCGTCATGTGCTATGTTTAGAGCTCTGAGACAATCCAGCTAAAAGAAGCCAGGATGTCTCAGGAGAACGGGCACCTCTACAGATCATTTGGCAGATCATTGGGAGTCTGATCTCCCAATTCGTAGCAAATTATCATATGTGGCAGTCAACTCCCCCAAGAAATGTATAACTTATTCAGAATAATTTTTCTATTTGGTGTAAGGTATTAAGTACTTTCAAATGCCCAAGCGCAAATAAAATCACAGGTCATTGATTTTATAGTCCGAGTTGAGTCTGAAGTCAAGTGACTCGAGTCCACACACCTCTCGTTAATAACTCCCTTCCGTTTGATCCAATCGGACCCCGGCGTGTTACCTTTCGACCCGCCTCGTTGTTGTGGAGGTTCATCAGCCGGCGGGCGTTTTTCTTGATCTCACGAGCGTCCACGAAGCGCCGCGAAAACTCCACGCCGTACTTGACATCTGCCGAGCAGCCTCCCCACTTCCAGCCCTCCTCCCGGTCATGGTAGCCCTGCTTCTCGCGGTCACAGCCGCACTGGCTTAGGTTGCCTTGGCTACAGGCCGCCGTCACCGCGTGGGCAACTCCAGCGGCTGTGATGGCGTAGGTGAATGCTGCCTCCCTGCTGCCTGGAGAAAGGAGGACAGAATTGAAATGCTCAGTCATATCATAATTAAATGACTGAGTGTACTTGAGAGTCTCGGCTTGAGTACTAATGTCGATATTTCTTTGACTTGGGTTACTGTTTGGGATTCTTGGTCTTGATCCAAGTAGTGATTCAGACTGTCACAACAGTGTCCAGCATTTCCACAAAGTCCTAAAATGATATGCAATACCTTAAAGCAGTTTGAATTTGGTCCTATAGTACAAAATGAAGCAAAGTCTTGAAGCCATGAAGCCACTTTTGTCAATGAGAATCATCATGAAGACTGAACTTTAACATAACCTACAAGAGCAGTCGGCAAAAGACCGGCACAAGGTCCTTCTCACCTAAATGAATTTATTTTTTTTGGGCTGATTAGGGAAATTATTGATCTGAACAACAGATGAATCCACCACAACTGTCCATGTTTAGCGTTGCCTCTCATCCAAGAGTTTTATCTCAACATTTCACCCTTAAACACCACCCACGAACAATGTCCACTTATAAGAAGGTCCTCCCAAACATAATGTCCCAACTATTCCAGCAAAGTTGATCAGAGACATTTTTGAACTAGTTATCTTCATAACTTAACCCAATCAAGAACACATTTAGTTCTCAGAGAATGCGGAATCGGTTCTTTTGCAGTGACCGTTTTCACATCTCGGAATTTTATCTCGATCTACTTTGCCTAATTGTTTTAGCGCGGCTACATTTCTGGGTTTTTAGGCATGAGCGACCTCGTTAAAGCTTTGGTTTTATAGCTGGACTATGACTAAGCCACTCCAAACCTTTCGCTGATGGTTAGGCATTCCCCCCTTTGGATTTCCTCTGTCACAATGTCTTTGAGAATGTGAGGCTTAAATGCCTATCTCATTAAGGTAGACACAAAATAACCTTTTTCTATGACGTTATCACAATTTCTTAATGTCTCTCAAAAGCTTTAGTGCATTACAACTCCGCTTTTGAGAAGTTAGGGTGGACAGTGTTATTCTGATGGCTCACTTTGTCAGTGTTTTTATTTTATTTTTTTTATTGGTAGTGTCTTGAGGAAGTAAAACCAATGGTCGTATATTCCTAATAGGGGGAAAAATGACTGGCTCCTTAAACAGTGTGACTCACCAAATGTGGCACTGCGTATTATGAAAATCTCCACTTTGGCCTCATTGGTCTAAAGGAGACAGAAGTCTTGTGGTTTATTCAGATCCATTTTGTTCTGCTGTCCTGTTCTTGAGTTTAGTGAACCGTGCAAACAAGTTCTGGAGCCTAGGAAGTGTTATTTGGGGTTTGTTAGCAGTTTTTCTAAATGTTGCTTGGTCTCAGCTGTTGAGTTTGTGGAGATGTTAACAGCCACAAGGGGTTGGCAACGGCACTGAATGTTTTCCACAAATATTGGCTCTAACATCATGACCACAGGCAGGTAGAAAAAGTTGGTTTTGGAGAACCCTCGCACTGCCTTCAACACCACAGCGGTCCGCAATGCAAGTTGTTTTCTAAACGGCCTTCTAATCCTTTCGCAGATTGATGAGCAGCAGCAGTTGCTTCTCTGAGATCATTGCTCAGACGTATTTAACACAGACAGCAGACCGTCTCTGCTTGTCTTGCCTCAGATGGCTCTATCTCAGCAGTCAGTGCTTGGCTTGTTAAAGCAGTCACCAGGAATTCGAAGGAAACAAAGTGATATATGCTGGCTGACTTTCTGCACTGGGACTACGAGTCGCTGTGCTCCATTGTGTCATACAGTGTTGTTCTTTTTCTGACTGAGGAAATTGCAGCAAATGATGGCGCGTGACAGCCAGATGATCTGCGGATGGTCTTAATCCATTTACAAACCTTTCTGTATTTACTGCTTGAGCTTCATGATAAAGAGATTTATGTTTATGGAGTCAAAGGGGGAAAATGTATTTATTGGTGCTAAAGCTGTTAACAGGATATTGGATATCCTCCCAGGGTATCAATGCCTGTCGTCTCCTTTAGATGGCTCCCTTCCAATGTGAAGAAACCCGTCAAGTCTGTGGTTCCCCCACAAACGCTGAAGTCCTCCTTCATCATGCTAAACCTGCGAGTGATTCAGATAAGTTGTTTGACGCTGCTGAGTGTTTCTCAAGGAATCGGGCGAGAGCAGTGGCCAAACAGCCATCTCTTCCCGTTGTGATTTGTTTTGATTGAATGCCGCTGCATTCAGGGTTCCATCGTTGCCATCCAGCTGCTGGAGCTGCCTGTAATTAGTGGTTTGCATGAATCTTTCTGGTCTAAGCCTAATGAATTCACAGGCCCTAAAGGTCGCCATCGTAAACTTGTGTAAGATTCACTTCCAGGACCAGATTGTTGTCTCGTCTTGGTTTAGATGGCCAACCCCAAAGTTTTGATGAAGCCCTCATTTAATGGATCGTGACACAAATTCTTTAATTGTTTTTCTTAACTGGACTTGACAAAAAATACAAAATTTGGTTCTCAAGTGTCTCTTTAATTTGTTTACTCTGAGAAAAACGATCTTCAGACAGCAGAAAGCGATCGCTCCCAGAACTGCTAGATTAAACATGCATCCAAACCCACAGCAAAACCGCAACAAAACATTCTGGACCAGAAGCACTTTATGGATGAGGTTCACATCAGGAGCAAAGAGGCGCCTGCGAGGAGACAAAATTTTAAAGAATGTCGAACTGGGTGAATTTTTAGTTGGTGTTAATAGACGCGACAGGTATGAATTTAAGAAACCACACCCTGATGAGCCTGACACAAAAACGCCTTCGCTCACTTTGGGACATTGCTTCAGATGAAATGTTTGCTTGGGTGTTGAAATCTTTCAAACTTGTTCCGTTGAATGTTGAAAGCATGTACGCCTGTGAGAAGAAAACCTTAGAGTTTCAGCTCTGGAACGTTGTGTTATAATGCAAACCAGACAACCGTAGAGTTACCAAGGGTTTTTGGGTATGTACCTGAAATTTATGCACAGAGCTCAGGCTCCATCAAATTGAATAAAAGCATCCATTCTCACCACAAGATTCAAATGAGGTTTTGATTGGACTTTTCCAACATAGCCTCCACCAGGTACAGTGTTAGTTTTCCACCAAAAAGTCCAATTTTGGTCTCATCAGATCATCACGCTGCTGCCTCGTGTTTGCTTAGCTCCGGTGCTTAACTTTAAACTGGACCTCTCGTGACTTTCTTCTTGCCACCTTTTCATAACGACCACATTTGCAGAGAGCACGACACAAAAATTTGGTCGACAGATTTCCCCGCCTTAGCCGTGGATGTTTTCTTTTACCGCTCCCCCACTGTTAACACTTCACAAAGCAACCATACAAGTAAACCCCCCCGAAAGGAGGCGATTTCCGGACTAGACTGACCTACTCTCAGCTCTTGTCCGAAGACCGTCCTCTCCCCCAGGGCAGAGCAGTTCCAGCGCCCGTAGCGGAACTGGTACTGGCACTCGTTGATGCCCAACTGGGCGCCCTCGCCGATGATGATGATGGCGTCCGGGCGACTCTGGCAGAGTGCCCTCTGACGGGGTGCCAGTCCTGGTATGTTGTTGCAGATGATGTTGGCGCCCAGGGCCACCACGGAGGACAACGCCCTGCAAGAATGAGGGCACTGTGAAAAGACTTTACCAGAACAGCCTTATAGAAAAAATGTGAACATTCTCTCTCAACCCAAATGTAATTTTTATTAAGTCAGGCCAATTGATATTGAGCTCATTTTGACCGCCATCCCTGCAGAAAGCGCTCTACAGTTCATGGTGTAGATTTCATAGCAGAACCTGCCCCTGTTCTCAATGAGAGGCAAATATGGTGTAGCAATCACTCTCGTTGTGGGGCCCCGAGGTCCCAAACGCTCCTTACAAAGGCCCCTCTTTCTATTAAAAGAGCATGAAGTAATCATTGATTTAATACAACAATTTTCCATATGCTGCTGTCCCGCGTCCGAGCCCCCGGGTTCTGACGAGGCGCTTCCAAGGCCGAGCGGTTCTGGTGCGGCGCGTAAATCCACGAAGGCAGGTTATCTCATCAGGCCGGTCAGCAGACTAAACGTTGGCTGCGCTCTGTCGGGTTTTCGCTCAGCCGTTTTATGGCCCGATTTCTGAATGAAAATGCCAGCGTGTTGGAGGAGAAATCAGCAGCTCGTGTTCCGCTGAGACGGAAAAATGACTGAACGAGAGAGAAAAAAAAAGAAGTCGCGCGTTTTTCCATCCGACTCTTTCCAAAGTACTCCCCAGAAAAATAACAGCAGTAACAAACGACGTAAAACCACACATATATATATATATATTTATATATATATATGATATCATTATATATACATATATAGGCTATATAATTGAAATATATTTTGGTTTGACGTTCCAGATTTGCGCGTGATTGGCTCACAATTTACGCACGCAACAGAGGCTGCAGGCAATAAAAGAAGCGCATCAGATTCAAATTCAAAGGAAGCATGCGCATTCAGAAGGACGTACAGGTAGCTACCGCTGGTGAGGATGAGGAAGATCTGCGGGTAGTAGACGGACAGCAGCGCGCTGCGAGACGAGACGAGAAGCATGGCTGCGCATTGAACGCAACCTGCTTTGCCCCCCCCCTCTCTCTCTCCCTCCTTTCTTTTGGGGTGGGGGTGTGGGGGAGGGATGATTGTGAAGAAATATGTCCTTTTTTATATGTGGATTCAAAGTAGTGTCGGAAGCAGTCCGGAGGGAGCCGAGGCGCTCTGCGGCAGCTCCGAGCCCGCTGTCCGTGCGCCGCAGACCAGACGCTGCATCTCCCGGCCGATGCGCGCTCCTGACACCTGGCCTCAAAGAGAGGGCTTGGTAGGGTGATGGTCGGGGGAAGAAAAAGAGGAAACGGAGGGAGGGCAAGGGGGAGGTGGGGGGGGGGGGGGGGGGGACACGTGGCTCCGAGTCCGGACGCGCTTTGGTCAGGTCTCCAAAAGTGGGAATGTTGTGGAGATGGAAAGGGAGTGCACCAGCCCACTGGAATGAGCCTGCACACCCCCCCCCCCCACCCCCATTTCGTCCCTTCCCTCCCTCCCTCCACATCTCGATTCAAGACATTGTGGTTTTCACGTTTCGTTTAGAATTATTCACTCGAGTAATCCTTGCGATTTTGACTAAATCCCTCTTAAAAGTGAGCAGATTGAGTTTCAGCTCCGTTGCAAATAAAAACTGCAACATGTCATTCAATGCGCTGGGTGTTTTTTTTTTTGTTTTTTTTTTTATATGTCAGTGGTAAAGCATGAAATAATAATTAGTGTTGATGTTCTTTGTCTTTTCAGTGTTTCCTCCTGAGCCACAGACTGGTCGCCTGCATTAAGTCATTCATGCAAAAGGAGCCCCGACATGGGCGTACGTTTCTATATCCCGGCATAAAACGTCATTTAATTGGTTGTCATCAGCTCCAAAGCCATTGAGCTTCTCCGGTGCGTGTTCGAACGTTGCGCCCTCTTGTGGTGACACCGAGGAAAAAACTCACAGAAAATGTGTTTGCAGCAAAGCCATTTCTTATGACTGAAGGAATTGCCTGAGGAATCTTGAGTATGGAAGGTCTTTTATTAATATTGTTATTATCATCTCACTTATTTTGGACTTTCACTATTATTTATTTTTGACTTGATTGACTCTTAATCCTTTTGTGCACAACGATTTCATGGCCAATGAAAATCAAAAATGCAGCACAGCGTTGCGGTCCAGTCGACTCCTCAGACTCTGTGAAATAAGTTTTACTGAATTGACACGGAAACTCACAAGGACCGAAAGAATTACCTGCTAACTGAGCAGGTAATTTAACATTTCAGTGGCTAACGGTCACCCAAGTGCTACTTGTTTACTTCCTGAGTCCATTTTAATTTATAAACACTGATTAATGTTAATCTATGACCTACTAAGTATCACTTAATGATTTTGCTCCATCCACTCCTGTCTATATTCATTAACCTCCTGATTAATTCCTGACTCCATTTGCATCTAGAATACCCGGTTAATGCTGGCTGAAAGGTAATTAGTCAGTTATTCATTCCCTATGCCATTGTTTTTAATAAACAATCATTAATTAATGTTAGTTAATGCTCAGTTATTTGTCATCTAATCGAGTTTTGATTCTGTTTTGAATCAGTTAGTTGATTCCCAGAAAAGTGTTACTTAATGTTGAAATCTTGTTAAAAAAATTACTATGATTAGTTCATCTCTTGTGCACATTATTTCATTATTAATTTCTCACCACAATAGGCTTAACAATCAATAACTAACTATTATAAATGAATGAGTAATGATGATTGGTAGCCCAATGTTTAATTCCTCATGTTATTTTCTTTATAGGTAATTGCAGTGACGTGGGGATGGTTAGTTTATGTTCAGTAAACTGTTCCACAGTGGTTTCCTTTTAACCATCTAATCTCAAAAGGAGTTTTTTAAAGAAACGAGCGACGCAAAGACAGAAACCATTAAAGATAAACTAATTACATGCTGTCGTACGTTGTTCATAATCGACTTAACATTAATTGGACATGTCAAAAGTCATCTCGTGCGTACAATTAGATTATGGTTAACTATCCATAATCGAACCATAAACTAACCATCGGGTATATCTACCCAGACGTGATCAAGACTGCAACATACGGGCTCTAAATATTGGCGTAGTTTAACTGTACAGTTATCTAGCTTGAGAAAACGTCCGTTTGAAAAGAAACGAGGAGTAATCTATTTATTACATACATTTACTGTAACAAATACAGCCAGAGGGATACAAGTCTGTCTATCGACAAACAGTCGAGTTAAAACGGTTTTGGATGATCTGCGCGAAATGCATCACACACACAAAAAGAGCGGAAACGACAACCTTTCTGACAAGTCAACCTGCTTCAAAGTAAGCCTCGACTTTAGTGTCTCTGGAGGGGTCGAGTTCGGAGCAGGACATGATTAATATTCATTACTGATCACTATTTACATGCCTAGTTAAGCATTTGTTTGGGCGAAAAAAAACTATGAAAAAATATTCAGGAATCAAAGCATTCTTCTTTCAGCAGGTCATGTGGTTTATTGGACTGAGGCATCAAAGACCTTGGTGATGCGTTCAAGTCCTGTGCTCCACGTAGGTCCATAACTATGCAGTGCTCAAGTTTGCTTTTAAGCCCAGCCACAATGTCAGCAACGTTATTCAGCCGCTAATAGGGCAAACACATGGAACTTATATTTATATGTGCAATGGCGGGGGGGTGGAAACACCGGGCCTGGGCTGAGGGGCTTTGGTTCGAGATGACTATCACCACCTCCTGCTCACAGCGGGGATGTTCGATTTCACCAATAAACCCCCCACCCCAGAGGCGAGCCAGTAAATCAAAACATTGCGCTTTTTAATCAAATGTAATTTACAGTTGTTGTGAATTTCAGGGAAACCAGACGGAGCTGACGGAGGGAAATTGCTTCCACGTTGAAGGGCGAGCATCCTGCTCTTGAGAGATTACTACACAGAGCATCTTGGAGTCCCCCCCCGTGCCCCCCTCACCCCGCTTCCCTCCTCCAAACCCCTCTCTTCGAGATCAGAAGAAAGCGGAGCTATATTTTTTAGCGACGTTACAAGGCACATAAACATCTTTGGAGATGAGTTGTTTTATGTCGGTAGGATTTATGTTTTTGTGTTGACATGCAAAGTCAGAGTGGTTGCACATGTTTGCGTCCAAATTGGAACGAATTATAGCCAAAAAATAGAGAGAAAAAATAAAAATCAGACTAAGCAAATAAATACATACTATTGTGTGTAGTGTTAAAAATGCTTAATCTGAAGAAAAAAAAAACCAAAAACAGAATAGATTTACTTTTCTGTCTCACTATTAGTTATTCTGCTAAACCTTTTAACAAAATCTGAAAGTTTTTGTCACTCAGCTCCTCATTTTCTCTACTTCTCATTTTGTCAGTTTAGCTGTTGTTGCTCAGTTGTGCCTGCAGAGGGAGACAAAGCATCAATACAGAACAGTTGGAACAGTCTTAAACAGTTTTCCGTCGTTTAAGTTGATTATTTGTAGTTCTTTTTTGTTTTCCTGGCTTAAATTATAATTTTACAACAGAAAAATTTGAAGTAAGATTTCCTGCAACACTCTTTGGACAATTATTGAGACTTTAAACTCAAGTGACACTGCGATTTATTGAGATCTTCATTTTCAGCTCTCTTTTACTTTGATAGCTAGAAATAATAACCATCCAACTGTTTTCAGACATGACCCGGTGTGTAAATGCAGTTCACATTTGGGAAGCATGCTCTCATTATTAATTGAGCAGGAGAAAATGCGGCACAATCCTGGAAGAAAACCTGTTAGCGATGACGAGGACATGAGACTGGGGGTGAAAGTTCACCGTCCATGAAGACAACAACTCTAAAAAAGTATACATATTTATATATATGTATGTATGTACAGCCAGCATTACAGTTTGTATAAAACATAGTTATGTATGTACCAGTCAGATATTCATAAAAAATGCTTGACCCTATGGTTGTAAGCTGATAAAATGTGAACAAAGGTCAAGGATTTACCTTTTTTGTCGTTTAGAAGGCCGATACCTCTGACATCCTCAAGGGGGCTCTTTACTCCAGCGTTTGACTGGACGCAGACTCACACAGCCCCACCGATCGCCCCCACCAGCTCCCAATAGTTCCACCATTTTGGTTCCTACCGTCGAAATTTCAAAAGTTAACCGTCACATTTGATCGTCTCCGCATACATTTAGTCTTTGTAGCAACACAGTGAAGAATGCTCATAATGCATGCTGCTCTTTTCAAAGCTTCATTTTGGATTTATTTGCAGGACATGTTTCTAAAAACAAAATCTCACTTTATTCCCTGAAGCAGATTTTGTTGGTTTAGAGTGAAAGGGAGCAGTTCTCCTGGTTTCCATTCTCAATCGACTGCATCCTCACTTGCGTACCTTGCTTCGTTTCGTTTCAGACACAAACCCGAGACCATTAAATTGAATTTATTTATCCTTTATGTTCTATTTTCCATCCTATATCTTTTTTTTTTCTTTTTGCAAAATGTAACTTTTTTTTAGAGAAAAGAACCTCCCAAAACTTCCCCATTTATCCAATTATGGGATTATCTGTCTTTGTTCACGTACATCAGCAGAATTGTAAATGCACAGCAGCTGGTGTGATCCGCTACAACTTGGATTTTGATCTGCGAGTAATTCATATGTGAGGAATTACTGTGCTCGGGGCTTTGGGAATCAAACATGTGTTGCACTTCTCCAAGTTTCTATTCCCCCTTGAAAATACCCGGGGCCTTAATGGGCTGGTCCACTCTGTCGAAGCACACCACCGCCCGCCCCTTCGCTCTCCGTCCCTGTAAACCACACACACACACACACACACGCACACACACGTTAACTGATACAACCACAAACCTCTTAACTGGTTTTTACAGGATCTATTGGCCCGAATCAGAGAAAGTGAAGGAAAAACGTCTATAAAAAAAATTTAAAAATTCTGTCGGAGTCACCTCGCGTTAAAACTGACCTCGCTGATTGAGTTTGCTCACAATCACACGGGTCAAGGCCTGGAGTCGGGCCCATGCATCATTTAGTTTAATGGCCGTTTCCTGCCTCGCTCGGATCGTGCGTGCCACATTGGAGGAAGCAGGCAGATGAAATGCAGCACGCAGCTATGTTATTAGCAGGACACAATGCTGCGAAGGCGGAAGGAGAGATAGGAAGGCGAAAGGGGGACGGTGACAAAAGAGGAGAGCGAGAGCTCCTCTGATTT